GTTTATGTTTGGGGAATACCAAAGAACTCCTATGGTTTAATTATTAATTCTTGCTTAATTGTCTATTGGTGATTTATTAAATCAAGTTTGTTAAAGAACCTTATGTATTAATCACTACTATTTTCTGTTAATTGGAAGGCAATTAGGTTGCATGAACATCACTTAATTGTTAACCTCATATGTCTATGTGAATGCTAAAACGTATGCTTGGAAGTAATGAGTATGAAACTAAGATTAATAAGAAAATAGGAAGATTAATGTGTGAGCTTGTTTGAGAAACCATCAACAAGAGGTTAATTGAATTGATAACTTAATTAACCATTACAAATCTTATTTAATCCAAATAATTAATCTAGGGAATTAATTAGTTTAAACACTTGATCAACGCTTAAATTAGTTAATTGTCTAAGGGTTAGGAGTAATGAATATGAACCTAACTATTATCATTGGTAACCAATAGCAATTAATCTACCTTAACTTAAATAACCATAGGAGTGAATTGGTTGAACCTAAATAGAAACATCTTTATCAAATTTGGTGAATAGTTGTTGCTTTAGTTAATTAGTTAATTTAGTTTGTCTAAGTTTCTAGTCTTGCAAAACTAGAGAAAAACCCTTTACTTTTATTATTTGTTTTAGTGAAAATTAGCTATTAGTTTAATTGCCGTTCCCTGAGTTCGATACCTTACTTATGAATCTATACCACTTAAAGACAGGTTCACTGCCTTTGTGTGCTCAAATTATTAATAAAAAGTAGGGATAAAACTAGTTGAATTTACACACATCAATCACTGGTTCAGGTCCAGCAGCAACATTGAAAAGGGTCCAAGCTGACTTGGGAGCCAGAGACGGAGATGCGGAAGCAACATCCAGAGTTGTTTGTAGAATGAGACTTCCAGGGGAAGTTTGATTCTAGTGGGGGAGAAATGTAACATCTGAATTCCCAGGTATCTTATTTTAATTATTTATTATGAGTTTTGTGGAGGGACTCGGCGAGTTGATGCTCAGACTCACTGAGTAGGATCGCGAATTTTTGACTAGATTAATGATCGGACTCGACGAGTCGATGCGTGGACTCGACGAGTCCACACTGTAAAGTGAAACCCTAAATCTCAAGCCTGAGCCCTATTTAAAGGCCCTTATGGCCTTCATTTATGGCCACTACTCCCCTGTGAAAACCCTAGAGAGCAAAGAGAGCTTTGAGAGCAATTTGGAGGCTAATTCTTCATCCTTTGGTGTGACCTTTCAAGAAGGAGTGGGAAAATCCAAGCTAGATCGATTGTGGAGCTTAGATCTGTGTTGTTCACACTGAGATTCACGTTTTGAGTTACAAGTTCCTTCCCATTTCATGTATTTGCTAGATTCCCTGAATCTAGGGTTTCCTTTGCACCATTTTGAGTTAGATCTTGAAGCATATGATGTCCCAATGGGTGTAGATGATAGATCTAGAGCTTGAGAAGTCCAAAAGGTCCCAAACTTCCAGCTTTATGTTGTTTCATGTGAGTCTTGAGAGTAGATCCCCATTTTAAATGTTATTTATCCATTTTTGGTCTTATATGTGTTGCATGAACGTAAAGTTTGAACCTTTACGTGACTTCCAAGTGCTAGAAGGTTAGATCTTCTAGTTGGACAAGCAGATCTGACCTTAGAAGGTCGTTTAAGTGTTATCATGGGAGGTCCTCGCAGAGTCGATAAGGGGACTCGATGAGTCGAGTCGGTTTGCCTCACGATTCGCGACCTATGATAACCCGTTGAGTAAAGGGTTGACTCAGCGAGTTGAGTGACGATCAGGGGTGAAGAAGACATGCATGGACTTGCTGAGTCACACGAGTGCACTCTATGAGTGTGGTCAAAGTTTGACCGTTGACTTTTGTTGACTTTTAGGGTTTGGTTAACAATTTGACTTGTGGACCATTTGAAGGGTAAAATGGTCTTTTAGCCTTCTTATAGGACATCGAAGAGGCTAATCTATCTTGGAGAGCCGTTATTGAATTAAGATAATTTTTTATGTGTTTAGGCGGAGGCTAGATCAGTGTATACGTGTGCGAGGTTATCCGAGATATCCAAGGTGAGTCTTCTCACTATACATTACCTATAGTGGTATCTAACTGTAGACCGAAGGTTCTTCTGTGTTATGTGTATGTTTGAGATTATGTTCTTTGATATATATATGTATGCTATAAATTTTGTAGACCGGACCGGAGGGTCCAACGATATAGATCGGACCGAAGGGTCCAACGAGTTATGACCGGACCACAGGGTCCAACAAGCTATGGGACTTGAGGGTCCCGCTGAGACACATCGACTGGAGGGTCGTACTATGGCCTTGAGTGGTGTATGTGTTGTATGTTTTATTTTAGGAAACTCACTAAGCATTTATGCTTACAATTGTTGTGTTATGTGTTTCAGGTTCTAGTGATGATAACGGGAAGGCGCCGGCATGATCCATACACACTCGTGGAATTTATATTTTGAGATTCTGGGATATATTTTGTGAGGATAACACTTGATACATTATGTTTTGACATTATTTTATGAGTAAATGTATGTTTTAAAAATGATAAATTGTTTTGAAATTTTTATGTTGTTACAACTTTAACTGGAAAGAGGTTAGCTTCTCGAGAATTTAGAGGCTTCGGACTTTCGTTAGAGCTTGGATATGTCACCGGGGCGTCAGGGTAGTCTTGAGAGGCTTAAAAGTGACTGAATATAGGAGAGAGGTTGGAAATTTTCCTTTAAAACCGGAGCTCTCAGTTCCTATTTATACGATGCTTAAGCCTCCTCCTATGCGGGGTGTAAGCTGCGTACGTTGGGCGTATCGTATGTGCCCAGCCTAGTCATTACGTGTCGGAGTTGGTATGCATGCATGGCTCGCATATAGTGAGAGGGTGAAGGAGCATCGATGTGGCCGGTCCCTGGCCTTGTTTCTGAGTACGCTAGGCGTAATCACATTTATTCAACTTCAAAAATTCTTAACTTTTGCATACGAGCTCCGTTTTTGACATTGTTTATATCCCCGCGTTCGTGAGACTATGCTCTACAACTTTAATTTAGACTCCATTAAAAATTCATAACTTCTTCATCTGACGTCCATTTTTGTCTATCTTTTTTACCGTTGTACTAGTACTGATGAGACATTCGATTCTCGTTTAGGTTGTGCCGCCTAAAAATCACTTGATCTATATTTTGAGTTTTTAGTTGTATACTGTTATATTGAATCTTAGAAAAATCATAACTTCTTCATACGAAATCATATTTTGACGTTCTTATTATGAAAGTTCTGGGTTTAACTTATTATATAACTTTTATTTAGATTGTTAAGGCTAAACGCATTTTATTAAAAAACTCACTGCTGCGGATCTTCGATTGATCATAATTTCTTCATTATAACTCGGATTTTATTGTTCTTAGTATTTTTTGGAAACCTTGTTACAATGTCTACCACTTTGTTCATCCCAATCGGGATTGTTTAATACTTCATTTTTTAGGGTCGATTATGTAAATACACATAGTATACAAAAATTTCACTTTCTTATTTTAAAAAGAACTATAAATTTATCTATACTATTACATAGATTTGAAATAAAGGTTTGTTACAAACACTTTATAAGATTTAGTATGGAAGAGCACCATTCACATCTTACTTAATGTTTTGTGGATTTGAGGCCGATGTTGGACTAAAGCTTCTAATCCTAAAATCTACTAAATACATATATGTATAATACATATAGTAGAAAGCAAGCTTCTAATGATATAGCGAGTGGGAGGTACATGGAAATTAAAGTAGCTCAAGCACCATAACCTGATGTAGTAATAGTTGGCACTAGTCTTAACAAGGATTGTTAAACATGAATAATAGCTATTCATCAACACAAATTGTTTGCATTAGTGGTAGAAATCATCCATGACTCGAGAATTATGGTATCTCTAATTTATGAGCCTTTATTGATGGTTTCTGGGAAATCCATCAAATACCAAGATACTATGTTAGATCTCGAACCTGATAAATGACTTAGAGTTATAAACATGAGATGTAATCCATGTATGTGCGCTTGATTAAAAGTTATCCCTATAGCAAGGCTAGAAGGAGTAAATAATTCTTCTAGAAAGAATAATTTACATGGATAACCATACACATTTAAAGCAAGACTTGTTATAAAAGGATTTTCTCATACTCATGTCATTGACTACAGATCATACTCATGACAAAATGGCTAAAGTCTTGTACTGTTGGGGTGCGAACAACTTGCAATTTCCGTGAACTCTCTAGGAGACTCTTCATCTCTTCTTTACCTTGAGTTATTGAAGAATACTGGCTTATCTTTTGCTCTCTTGAAGTTCATATTGGTTATGAACTTCAAGCTTAAGAGTTACAAGTATATGTAGTAGCACCTACATCAAGTTGAGTCATTGTTGGTGTCTCAAAGGTTCGAGATTCTTCATCAACTTCCAAGCCTCCCTTGAGGATTCAAAGACTACAAACGTTGTTATTTCTTCATCCTTTCTATGGTTGGTATTTTATCTTTCTATAACTTGCAAAAAGATCCTTGGTAGGTATAAAATGTTATGTTATGTTCAAAATTTTAAGTCTTCTGTTGCCATATTTTCTAGTTTATGAAACTATTTTTGAACTAAAACCCAACATTTGAATCATGTCATTGTTTTTTGTGAGAATATCAGTGCCATGTATTTGGCTTCTAATCCTATTCAACGCTAAAGAACCAAACATGTAGAAATAAATTTATATTTTGTTAGTGAATGAGTTGTCGTTGGTCGTGTTTGTGTTTTGGAAGTTCAATCTGCTCACCAATTTGCTGATATATTTACTAAGGGCCTTCCTACATCTTTGTTTTTAGATTTTTGGAACTGTTTAAACATACAAGAGACTTCGGCTCTAGGAAGCAGTGTTAGAATTATTCGTATGTATTTTAGTTTCATTATATAGTGTAGGGGTGTCTGTGTAAATAATACATCTATATATTGCAATGGAATATACAGAAACCCTAATGTGTATTTTTCACAAATAATTAAAAAAAGCCCATTATTAAAACAATATTATTTTTCCATTAACAATGGAGTTCTATCTCTTCTGGAAATTAAAGGACTTAATACAATAAGCAAAAATAACTGCATAAATGATCAATAATCCCACATGAACACCTGCCACAACACCAATGAATTTGTGTTTGAACCCGAAATATCGTTGCAGGTAACCTTTAAATGTCTCCCCGCTCGAGAGCACATCCGTAAAGTCCCCAAACTGTGAAACAACTAGACCATATAGTGTCCATGCAATCGGATCTCCCCAGTAGTACCATCTCCACCACACCGGAATTTTCTTCAACAAATGATAAAAACATACATTGTCGTAAAAATTGAAAATATTTTGATTCAAGTTTTTTATATCAACTACTTATGTGTTCGTTTTCTTTAGTTTAATGAGCTAACGAGGCAAGATCTAACGATGTAAACTATATATGAGAGTTCTTACTTGAGGCACGGTTTGATGTCTTCCTAAAAGCGAAACCACACCAAAAAGAGTGGCCTTCTAGCTCTAAATAACAGAATTTCATTTTTTCGGTTTCCGATGTTTTGGGTTCCATCACATCAGGGATTTTTTTTTCCAATTCTTTCTTGGTTTTTAGGTTTTCACATGGATGATTATCACTTCCCTCCAGAGGTTATGTAGTATACATATTGATTATAAACTAGTTAATTAATTACACAACTATTACTTACGCTCTTATAACTATAATTTTATTTTTTTGCATGGTGATTTGGGTAAGTTTCTCCAAAATATTATCAAATGAAAAAGACATTTCAAATTTTCACCCAATTAGTTTATTAAAATTATACATAAAACAATTTTGTTCTAAAGTTGTTGGTTTGGTTCGGTCTTTTTAAACAGTAAGAAACCATAAAAATCGACTTATACATAAAAACCGAAGTGTCAATTTAGTAGAACGTTTTGTCTGTTTTCTGTACCCCCTACAAAGAAGTGAGATTTTCTCCTAACTTTTTAAAAAATTTATCCTTTTCACATATTCCCTATCATTTTCCCAAATTTGTGGTAATTTCTCAAATAATTTTCAAACATCAGTTATCAAAGTGGAAAAAATATAAGAAAGGTCCTTACAGGTCTTGGGATGATAAATCCAGAGAACAGATTCCAGAGACTTATAAACGCAGCACCAATTATGGCAGCGGCCTCCGCATTTGGCGTGACTGCAATCGTCATCATACCAAAGAACGTCATGTAGAGCAAGCAACAGAACATGAAGAAGAAGAACCAAAAGAATTTAGCAGCCGTCCAATCATATCCAATCATTGCATACACTATAAGCCCATAAATAATAGATTGTGAAAACACATATGGAATTTCCACGAGAACCTATGTAAGAAAAAAAAAGCATTAGGATACTAAATGGTATATATAACAAAGGAAAGTTACACGAGTTACCTGAGCAAAGGCATATGGCAACGCAGAATACATTCCAGCCGCTCGTTCTCTATAAAACACTGTTCGTTCTATGTGCACCACAGGCTGTACTGAGGACATGTTTAGGTAGCCTATGAAGAGGACCGATGTATACATGGAACCCATTGCATTGCTCAAATCTTGTGCAGTTTTCCTGAAATGTATGTATGTGTTAGATATGTATAGTCCTTGATTTTAGTCCACAAAAGCACTTGTGAAGAAAGTTGAGAGATTCTGTAATATGTATGTAGGAGAGTGCATGTCTAGCAGAAGTGATACATAAACACACACCCCATAAATGGAGGCTCTGCGAGTTTCGACTAAATGTGTGTTGAGTCCCTAAGGATGCTAGACCTCAAATGTGATATGAGTCTTGGTTTTTTCACCAAAATATCCCTTCAGGAGAGTGGTAAGTTAGTAAATAAGATCATGTTACTTATATGGGACTTTAACACATCCCAAAGACGTAGGCTCAATGATTTTATGCATGGATACTAGCTAGTGCCCAGTGATGGTACAATGTTAATGTTATCATCCAACATAACAAATGGAATTCAACACAAGAACAAATGATAAAGGCTTCCTTCTATTAAGTTGAAACACTCAAAATATAAGGATAAACAGAGGTAACCCTAATGCTTACTAAAAATTTTAAACTCTAGTTCTCTCCAAGGTTCAAGACCAAATTTCACAAAAAGATGATCCATATACTATTTGTCATAACAAATTACTCCCTATGTCCCATATTAGTAGTCCATGTTTCCTTTTTAGTTTGTCTCAAAATAATTGTTTACTTCTAAAAATAAATATCACTTTTACCAAAATACCCTTCATTATTAGTTAAACTACCATAGAATTAAATACAACTACCATGATATTAAAGGCAACAAAAGGATACAATTGTTATTTCATTTGATATAGTTAGTGGTAATTAATATTTTCCTAATCTGTGTGTGTTTCGTCTGTACACAATAATTTGGGACAGAAGGAGTATATAATATAAAATACTTCAAGTTTCCCTGCACTAACAAGATGCTCTTTATTTTTTGATATGCCCTAATACCCTTTTCTAGAATATGTGGCTTAATTAATGGATGCATAGCAGTTGATGCGTAAAGTGTTGGATTTTGCACATGTGACCGCATCTAGCCATTGTAATACTCAGACAATATGTGTGTGTGTGTGTATATATATATATATATATATATATATATATATATATATATATATATATATATATATGTATGTATGTATGGAAAATATGTTTAAAAGGTAAAATGTGAGGAATAATTTCTTTGGGTTTTTTTTACCTTTTACCACCAAGATCCCAGAACATAGATCCAAACAACAGTGCAGTCATTGTGGTGAAGGTGAAACGAACAGCAGTGTAAGTCGCGTTTCTCCAATATGAGCGTCGTTGTTTCCATAGACATGCCCAACATTGGGTGAAGAAGGACTGCGAGTATTGAGTTGGGAAATGCAAGTCGTTTGAACTAGAATGTGGTTCACTTAGTTCTGCAATAAGGGCTTTGTTCCTACTGCAATTTTGTTTCACCAACAAGTTAGCAAGCAGTACTGGTTCTACATATGGTCACCATTTGTTATACATGACAAAACAGAACACACTATGTTGCCTTTGGTTTGGATTCATGTCAATGGGACAAAAATTGCAATCTTTTATCCTCTCGCTTAAACCTCAGTACATGTACAACCTCAGTTGTTTTTTTATTGTCTTGCGTAACTATCAAGGCCATAAGGAATGAGTTATTGTGCCGTAGCACTACTACTCACTTATATAGGTCAGAACTCTTGTAGATTTCAGTGAAATCGACTCCCAAAGCAAGTTCTTGTGACGAAGTAGTGACTTCCAACACCCAAGTCGCAGGGTTATACCCATCTTTAATTTTAATCACTCCATCGATAGCCTGGTTCACAAAAGAAAAAAAAACTAGGTCTTATAGTTAAGCTTAATTATCACTCTACACTTGATTAGATCTACACAAATGTGATTCTATACTACCTCAAAGTACTTGATCAAATTGCAAGATTGGTGACCAATGGGTCCAACATATATCTCTCGTCCTCCTCTTTTCATCAAGAACAACTGCAACATTATTTGGATGATAAGTTCAATGCGTAAAGGTTTATGTTGTATATGATTTAACCAGATTTAGTGAATAATACGAATGTACCTCATCAAAAGCTTCAAATATATCGATGCTAGGTTGATGAATGGTGCACACAACTGTTCTACCCGTGTCCACCGTGTTCCTAACCGTTCTCATAACAATAGCAGCCGCTCTAGCATCAAGACCGGATGTTGGTTCATCCATAAATATTATAGATGGGTTAGCCACCAGCTCAACCGCTATGGTTAACCGCTTTCGTTGCTCTGTTGATAGCCCGTTGACCCCTGGCAACCCTACTAAGGCATCTCTTAAAGGATTCAGTTCCACAAGTTCCATCACCTCATCAATAAACATCTGCCAGAAATAAACACCATTACATCTTATCTTTCTTAACTATCGATACTATACTTAACTATGTTTGCTAACCTTTCTAGTGCTTTCGTTAACACTTGGTGCCAATCGTAGCCAAGCCGAGTAGATCAATGATTCATAAACAGTAACATGAGGAGAATGGATGTCATTTTGTTCACAATACCCCGAAATCCTAGCAAATGTTTCTTGTTTCTTCGGATACCCAGATATCCGAACATCGCCCTCTATAATCCCGCCAGTTTTTCTACCTGCCAACACATCCATTAATGTAGTTTTACCGGCACCGCTAACCCCCATAAGCGCGGTAAGAACACCAGGTCGAAAAGCTCCACTTAAACTCTTGAGTAACACCAATCTATCTTCACTGACACCTTGCTCTTTCATTTCCTACAAAATTTTCCATTAGTGATTATTTATTGTTACATTATATCAATTGTAAGTGTTTGTGTCCCACATTGGCTAGACATGGTTCCATCAGCCAAGACATATGTTAGACTCTCTCCTCTCTCACCAAGTGTTCTTTTTGAGAGAATCTAGGACTCTTATTTAACTCTAATGGTATTAGAGTCTACGTCTAGTACCCTAAGCCCTCAACACATCTAGTTTAATCGCATAGAGTGTCGGTTTAGGGGTGCGGTACTGTTCTATATCAACAAGAAACGGTCCCATATACCCTCTATATATGTTAAAGTCTTCTATATCTTTTCGAGGACTCAATTCGAGAGAAAATGTAAGACTAAACATCTGCATCAAATAGTAAATAACATGTAACCTGTGGCATAACAACGGAGTACTTGATATTATCAAACGTGATGCAATGTGGTTCAAATGGAAGAACCATTCCTCTCTTCTTGTTTTGATTTCGGTCAACTATTGTTGGTGATAACTCAACGGCATGTTCTTCGTGTTCTGATGTGTCTGCTCGAATTTTCTTATATGCTATAGAGTTCAAACACCATGTATTACAAATCAATTTACAGACATAACGATAATACAATGCCATTTAATGTTGCTTACGGTTAAGATACTCGAGAAACAATGTGTAACACAAATTGAAGATTATCATGAAACCAAAAAGAGCCCCAAAACCTATCCAATACCAGTAAGTTTCCGCGAACATTCCTCGAGAAGTTAGGATAATTCTCCCAAGTGTTGAATTGCCGAATGGCTATGAACAAATAAGTCCATGTTATCGATATGTATCGTGGTACAATGTAATTTGCATATCAACTAAGAATCTTTACCTTTTGGAACTTATGTCCAAGAAACTCATTTACTACAATTCCATTCATGGCATACATCATTGGTGATGACCAGTATCCCCAAATCCACCATTTTTTCACATCATCTTTAGAATGAAGAACATGTGTGTTATTTTATTAGATATATTGGAGGATTTTGAACGATTGGAAGATTTACCTCGTGATAAAACGAATCCACACAATGCAAAGAGTATGACAAGTGCAAAGGTACCAAATGTGTTTGCAATAATATTGTTGCGGCCTACTGACGCAATCAATCGGAATAATGCTGAAGCCATTTGGTTAACAAGCACAAGCAACAAGTAGTACTTGAAAAATCTGTGAAACAACAAAAATCTGTTAAACAAGCTTAATAACATCCTAGTTTGTTGTGGAGCAGATTGAGGAATTGATCGGTTTTCATATAAAAACAAAATCGACTAGAAAAACATCGGTTCCTATGCCCCAAAAAAACAGATGTTTGATCTTTTTTTCATTTGGTTTTTCAGTGATTGGGTTCAACAATATCTGCTTTTGGCTTTTTGAGATTTTGGTTTTTTGGATTTTCAGTTTTTAATTAAATGATAAAAATAGCATCTGAATACATAGAGTTTTAATAGTCATAATCAATGAAAGCATGTAGATGATATTAGTTGAATTAAGAATATATAATAACAAAAACAGTTCAAGAATATAACAACTATCAATAAAACTAACTAAGGTTGTGTATGGCCCTCCACAACTAGTTGATAAGCTATATTATTTTCTGAACTTTTTTAAATTGTCATGTTTTGCAAGCCAAAAAGTAGTTTATAAGCTACTTTTTAAAAAAAACTACTTACACTAGCATTTTATGAATTTTTTTAAATTTTTTTAAAAATATACTCCTTTATTAATTATAGACTCCTTTATTAATTATTGAAACACATTCTTTTAAATGTCATTTTAAATAATTATATATTTGTCAGCTACCTTCTCAGCCAATCAAACAACATTTTTTATAAGCTAGCTTTTCAACTATCAACTAGTTTTCTATTTAACAACTAATTTTTCAGCTAACAGCTACCTTTTCAGGTAGTACGCAAAATATATCCTAGGAGTATAATAGAAACCGGACATTAATATCTTCAATAGTTAATCAAGCAAATAACTTATATACTTTATAAGGATGTTCTACATTACTAGAAAACCAAGTATCATCAATTTGATTCATCAATTTTTCAATTTTTTTGGTTAAGATACTTCAACTTATTTGTTTTTCAATACACCCTTAGTCATTAAAGCTTAATGCAATGTACCATTTTTTTTCTCTAACGCATGTGTTTATGCACTCAATAAATATATCTCTTATGTTTCCGTCCTACGTCATTGGTAAGTAGTAAATAACTAAATACCTCCAGATATTGGGATCAAATCCAATTACATAGTAAGTGAGGAGTGTCCAAATCGCGGCTTCACCAAACGAAATTGGAATCTTGACAATCCACGTCGGAATAGCATATGCCCATGTTGGATAGAATAGAAAATCCCGTTGCTTGTAGAATACTGGAAGCTTTGCAATTGTCATTGCATTCTCAGCCATCCCATTAAACATTAGCGTTGTGACACTAAAAAACAAAGCACCAACGTAAAGTCCTCCGTCTTCAATCCCATGCTTATGCATATCAGTTCGGAAAAACATAGTCATTGTGATAACCGCCATAACTGTCAGCTGGAATCAGGCAAAAAGAATCAAAAACTAAAAAATATATATCATCACATAAGTCACATATGTGGAGTCCTAAATTCTCTCTTAGCATATATAGAGGAAAGTTTGACTGTTTCTAGCCAATAGATATGTGGAGTCCTAGATTCTCTTTTAGCATATATAGAGGAAATATTGGGATTGTTTCTTGCCAATAAGGGACACTATACACACCCCTAGAGAAGTCGAGGCTCTATGAGATTAGATTAAACGTGTTGATCCCTTATAGAGAGGATGTGGACTCCAACATATATATAGAGGCATATGAGACCGTGTTTAGTCAATGTGAGACACTAATATATCAAATAGTAGACGAGGTAGAAATCGAATTCAATCGTACGCACTTGGAATAGTTTGAAAATGTAGATGAATGAGTTTCTTTTTATAAGCAACATTTCTCTATCAATACAAGCTTTCAAGAGCTCCTTCTTGCTTAGCCCAAACTTCTTGTGTGTAAGAGCTGCAGGATGGCTTTTGCTTTTGTCAAACGGGATTGCAAGTTCATTGGCTAGCCTTCTTCCAACATGAAATGATTCATACGCTTGAGCAAATTCCTTCACCGTCACAAATCTGTAAGCCTCGTGTCTTCTCATCCAGTACTGTTTCTGATCATTCTTTGATGTCACCTATAAAAACAAGAAACATATTGAAAATGTGCATAACTTTTGATTTAGGAGGCATATGGTGATATGGGGTCCACTAACACATGAAAACGTCTGGGCCCAAATTTTCCTCATTTGGAGCTCCAATTCATTTTCACTCGTTTGAAAAAAAGATTAAAATTAAATGGTGTGAACTGAGGTATTTTTTTCAATCATGTAGTATGATCAATAAGAAATTTCAGTATTCTAGGAATAATTTTAGATTTTGAGAGAACCTGCCAAAACTATGAATGTGCTATAGAAGGACCTCTTTGTATACCTAAAGATTATTACAAAAAGTAATATTGGGCTAAATGCAATGAATAACAACCTAAATCCAGTTGTATGTGTATTATGGAATCCTCTTTTTATTTCATTCGATTACAACATTGTACTTTCAATTTTATTTTCTTATTAACGCAATATTTGTGGAAATATTCACCCTAATATAGTATTGTACCTTCAATTCTTTTTTCTATTAGGATATTGTACTTCAAAAAATAAACCATGTCATAGTTATGGAAATCATTTTTCATTTGGCTGACAATCTAACATTACTATAATTAGATAGAGATTTCTAGGTATAATGTTGTAATTAGGAGTAAGTTAAAGTAGCATTCTATAATAAACAAATCAATAAAGTTACGTTGTTATTTCTTGTATATATAACCCCACAATTCCTCTTTAGAGTTGATTTCACTATTTTGTGCTTTCATCCTGCATAAACATAGCTCTATGATGCTCCAAAACAAAGATAAACACACTTTTTGGACATAGGCAATACTTACTTCTTGCAAGAAATCAGCAACAGCCTTCCTTTCGGGGCATTTGAATCCCAAAGATTCAAAAAACTCGAGCACATTTTCACGTGGACCCTGATACACTATCTTTCCATCACTCAAAACCACAATGTCATCAAATAAATTGTATGTCTCTGGTGCAGGCTGGAGAAGAGATATGATCGCTGTTCCTTCAAGAATTTGAACATATTGCTTTAAAGAATTCACTATTTGGAAAGTCGTCGAACTATCCAAACCAGTAGATATTTCATCCATAAGTAGAACCTTCGATGGTCCAACTATCATTTCTCCTGTAAAAGTTTATCAAATTAGTCAAATAAGTCATGTCATATGTGTCTTCAAGAAAAACTGACATTTAATTTTACCTGTTGTAACACGCTTTCTTTGCCCACCGGATATACCTCTTATCATATCATCCCCTACCATCGTGTCTGCACACATATCTAACCCCAATATCTGCTCAATAAATAGTTTTTGTCTTATCATTCTTCAGTTACTTTTGCTTTTCATTTGCATATAAATATAATATGAACATTATGATAGAAAAAAAAACTTAGAACATACCTTGAGAGTGTAATCTGTGACAATACTAGCTTCTTGACCTTCCGATGCAGCAGCCTAAATTATAAAAAATCAATCATGCATAATTATTTTTACGGTAATATATATATACTTCAAGAAACTAAACAAATTTTTTTCTTTAAAAAGATATATTCCATGCCTTCATATAGATATCAATATCGGGATCCGGTTTAATGTTTGCGCTTTTTTCTCTTCTTGACAACTCAGCCAACATCTCTGCGATATATATGAGGAAACCCCGTATATATTTCAGTGTTAAGACATAGTCTAGAACTTGAAATCTTGAAATATATATGATTTATTGGAGAGATAAATGTGTTTCTTAAACTAACCATAACGTGATCCAATGCCTTGGCATCGGGCAGAGAAAGCCAATGTTTCTCTAACAGTCATTTCTCCAATATGAACATCGTTTTGACTGATATAAGCAGACGTTCTTTCGGGTACAAACTCATGTAACTCATGACCATTGTACGTCACCTTTCCAGTGCTCTTTGTACATGAATTTAAATATTCAAAAGTTAACGTAATAATTTCTTAATAATAAACCCTACTGATACAACTCTTTCAAACTTTGCTTTACTAAGTTTTTACCTGAAGCTCCTTAGAAAGACACCCAGCCAAGGCCAATAGCAATGTTGTCTTCCCCGAACTTGGAGGACCCAAAAGTAATGTCATTCTGAATGATATTTATGTAAGAATTTAGCGAAAGTAATGTC